CACACACACACACACACACACACACACACACACACACACACACACACACACAGTCACAAACACACACAAACGAGTGTGACAAACGAGTGTGGCTATGTATATTTCCACGTTCTAGGGGTGGATTCATTCGATTTTGCTGATGTAAGTAGCATGAGGTCAGGGGCGAGGTTGGAGACTTAGGGTCTGATCCCAACACTACACTACAGCCCAGTTATAGGGGCGCGTTCTACACTCCTCGGGCCGTCCTCGGGGCCCGAGGAAATTCTCCCATCGTCGCCACTCATCCTCGGAATTGTTCCCCGAGGACTTGCACCGTCGTTCCACTCATCCTCGGAATTGTTCCCCGAGGACTATTCCTCGGCGGCTTCCGCGGCCAGTTTCATATATCGACAGGCGGACGTTGAGGGGGGGGGGCGAGATTGGTCCAGCAAGGTGTATCCGTGCCGACGTCGTTGGTCCAACTCGGGTGGGCATCGCGAATTCGAAAGTTGGCGGCGTTAAAAAAAAAAAAAAATGGCCACCAAAAAGGCACGCAGTTGGCAGACAATTCCATGACGCCAACCGTTGTCGACCGAAGATGTCCGCCAACGGGCCGCCAGGAACAGCAATTGACCAGCTGTGTCGAAAACTATCATCGAGAGAGCTGCCGGCGACGCCCCGATTCTTCCAGAGTGCTCGACCTCTGAAGGACCTCGGGAGGTCCCTTGGGGAACGCGTCGAAATGGTTGTAGCCCGAGGGATCCCCGAGGAAATGTTTTCACTTTTTTTTTTTCAATTTCTTCCCCAAGGATAAGTGAAACGATGAATTCTTCGGGCGATTTACATGCCTGAGGAGTGTCGAACGAGCCCCACAGTGTAGTTTTGAGATCCCACCACTTTCCAACGTCGTCGTGGCCACCAAAATATTTTGCCTTATTTTCGTTTGGGTGTGTCATGCCAGCACTTCCGCTAGGGGGGCAAACGTAGTTACTACAATTTTTCTATATACCGTAAGGGCTTCACGGCAACGAAAAAGAGGGAGCAATTTTTTTTTTTTTTTTCTCGTTTGTCCGTTTGCAGCATCAGGAATGCCCGTGGACCAAAGTTGTGTAACATTTCGGTTGGCGGAGTCGGTGAGGCCTACAACAGCCCATAAAGAACCGCCGTGGTTCCAGGAAAACCACCGAAGAAGTCGCCCTCATGGGATCCAGTTTCTCTTTTCTGCCTCGACCCGGCTGCTGACATTTTCTTCGTAGTGCTTTTTTTCGTCTACATTCGTTCATACCCTTACTTGTTCAAAAGATCAATTGTAATGGGATAATCGGTAGAAAGCGGTCACGCCAAAACCTTGTTGGTTTTGGGCGCCCGAAACTCGGCCGTGTGGTACTACCGGCCCAATGACTTCCATGTCGGGTACTACAGGCCTACGCATCGCTCCAAGGGTCCTACCGGATCATCAATCTGGCGCATAACAGCGCCAGATTTATTTTGATGTAAAAGAGGGCGACGGTGGTACGACTAAAGTATGAAATGAGGCCCACGTACAAGATTTTGAAAAAGAGGGGCCCTACCGATCGATGAATCTGGAGCAAATACAATACCAAATTCTTGAAACTGTAAAAACAGGCCCAGGGAGATGTCGCCACCGCGTGAAGGCGCCTTTCACCCAAGCAGAAGACGGTTTGGGCCGGTAGTACCAAACGACCGAATATCGGGCGCTTAAAACCGGAAAGATTTTGGCGTGGGCTCTTTCTACCAATTATTTCGATCGTAACGGTATGGGCATATCAAAAAAAATTCCGACGGCTATCCGGTAGCAGCATGCTGCGAATCTGGTGTGGCTACCGATAGGGGCACCTCAAAAACATATGAGGCCCAAAAGACACCAGGGTTTCATTGAAAATTTTACTTATGGTCAGAAGGGTGCCACAGGGTAAATCGGTCGTCGGAGGGGTGCGACGCAAAATAATAAAAAATTCAGGGTGCCATACAAATCTTCCCATTTTTATTGGTTTTATTGTTATTATTATTATTATTATTATTATTATTATTTCCCCTAATGTTTCGGCGGGCACGATAAGGCCAATAATATCGTTTCCTAAAGCGCAGTATCTCATCAGCAGAACGTCGACCTTCCCGCTTCTCCAATCTGTGTCACGTTGTGAGGAAACCCGGGGAGGCGTCACCTACCGCTCGCTGAAGCCAAGGGCAACGACACCTGTCACTCGCCGCGCTCGCTTCAGAGGTCCTCAGCGGTCGGTAGGGAGTGTTGTTCATATCGCCTGTCACTTCTCTCTTATATGGGTTTTATGTTCCCCCACTGCACACTTAGATAGTACGAAAAAGCAAAACAAAGAAAACAAAATGTACAAATCTGATATGAAAGTTTGCGACTCAAGCAAAATCAATGCCAAGGGTCTCTCCTCCAACACCCTGATTAATTTATTTTTTTTTGTCAGGCATCGAGGCTGGTAAGGCCTTTCAGGACTGGTTCATTAGTTAGGGTTGCTTTCTCACTTGGCCACGTTTTTCCTCTTGGCACTACACTTCGTGGACATAGCCATTATCAGATTACCGCAGTGACAGCAAGCATTCACCAGCTCAGTCACATGGGAAAATGTCTAAATTTCGATAACTACGAAATCCCAACAGTGTAAACATCTATCTTGATACCCCTCTTTAGTGCCCAATGCCTGATCTTCTGTTGGGGATGCCTTCAAGTAATGATGACCAATAACATGTCAGCTCATTGAAATACGGTGCGAAAACAGGCTGCCTTTTCAAAACGCTGTTGGCAGCAATTATTCACCAGCTTAGCCACATGGGAAAATGTCAGAATCATGATAATCGCAAAATCCCAACGGTGTAAACATCTGTGTTGATGTCCCCCTTCAGCGCCCAATCCCTGATCTTCTTTGGGGTTGTGTTCAAGTAATAGTGACCAATAACATGTCGGCACGTCGAAACACAGTGCGAAAGTGGACTTCCCTTTCAGAACATTGTTAACGGGGATGGCTTTGCTCTCGTTTGGGGCCATTACCCCAACCTTGCCCCTCTCTCTCTCTCTCTCTCTCTCTCTCTCTCTCTCTCTCTCTCTCTCTCTCTCTCTCTCTCTCTC